GCGACTTGGTTTAAAAACTTTCAGAAAGTTATATAAGAAAATCGTTTTGCATTTTTACAATAAGATAACAACTAACAACTCAAATTTTGTCTCTTAAAAACTAGTTATTAAATAAAAACTATTTTTTGATATGATATTCTTCCATATTCTTTTCTTGAAATATTTATGACGTCATGTTGTACGCTCATTTTACATCCTCAAGGCGCTTCTTAGGGATTGAGTTCACCATTTTGTTAGTTAGATAGACTTAGCCTTTGGACTAAACGTATAGCGGTTTTAAAAATCATGGTTTTTTCTTTCACCGACCCAAAATTCTAGATTTATGTTTTCCATTGATCGGGATAAAGCTAAACATCTACAAAAAATCTTTCTTTTAATAAAGTGCACTAGTCTAACTCATAATAATACATTTTTTGTTGGTTAAAACTCACAGAAGCACACTAGCTATCACATTTGAAATCGGATTGTGATAAGGAGGTGCATTAATACAAAATATTAGGTTCAATGTCATTGCCATCGTTCCGTAATAACATATATATATACATTTTTACTTTATTCTAGGTGAAAAATCCCATAAATTTCTTATGTGATGGGAAAAGATTGGCTAACAATTTGAAAATTTTGGTCATATCATCGCCAAAATTCATGGGTAAGAGGAAAAAAATCTAAAAAGAACTTTATTATAAAATTTGGTCTAAAAATGGAAGAGCTAATCTCGGCCTAAACAAAGAAGTAAGTATTGACTTTGGCTTTGAATTAGGTTATCTACAATTAACTGAAATATAAGTCTCAAGTAAAAGCAGTTTTGTTAGTTAAAGCTTTAACTTCAACTTTGATAGATAGTTTTTTCTTTATCCAACCCTTAAACCTTTTCATACTTATTTGAAGCCCAAAATTCGTAGACTATTATTGTAGTCAATTTAAAAATAATTCAACCCATTTAGTTATTTCTCTCCAATACTGTTGTGTTGTGGTCAAAGAACTAAACTATGTTTCGGTAAGAAACCATTTTTTTCGTTTATATCTATTTTCCCGTATAATATATTTACGGTT